GCCCGTGGGCTGTAGGTTGCTGACCTCTGTTCTGTGTTATGTAAAATTTCAGACTTGATGATCTAAATATCCTTTCTCACCTTAGCATCTTGGCATCAATGTAGTCACATATGTTAAAGAAAAAGAGTAAAACATTTTTTAAAAATTGTAAACTTTAAAATCTGAATAATTTTTCTACATGCAGGATCTTATATTTTATCCCATCCTAATTGCATCATAATTTAGACAAAACTCTTTACAAACACCTGTTACTGCATTAAATTTAAGTAAGCAAGTTACATAAGACAGTGACATCTTCCTCTGAAAGGGGCAAGCCTCTGAGGCAACATTTTCCAACAAAGCTTTAAATAAAAAAGGGTCTGACTAGGTACTCACTGATAAGCACTGGTGCTAAGGTGAATTTTACTTGGAACCCCGTGACTCTCCATCCGGGAAGCTATGTTCACTGTGTCTCCAAACAAACAATAACGAGGCATCTTTTCTCCAACTACTCCAGCCAGCACAGGGCCTGTATGGATCCCAACTCTAATCTTTACAAAGACAGAGAAGTCCCTCCATTATTTAAGGCATTTTTAAAATATAAGGTTTCCATCTATCTATTAATCTTAGTATATAGTACAGAGCACTTCTGTAACACCAGACATCCAAAGTTTGAAAGAGCCAAACAAAATATTTTATAAACACATGACTACATGGGAACTGCCCAAGTTCACAAAAGAATTAAACCTAGGTCTCTTGAGGCCCAGCTCAGGACATTAACCCCAAAGGCCCTTTCCTCTGAAGAAGAAAAGATAAAAATGCATGGCAATGACTTACTTGGATAGGGTTGCCAGAAACTGGATTCTTGACTTCTTTGGCTGCTATTATCATTCCCAGGGAAAAGTTGGCAACTCGTTCTGCATGAGTAGATACAGGCACAGGGACACCTCCTACCACCATGTAGGCATCTCCTATAGTCTCCACCTTTAGAGAAAGACATGTGACTGTTCCAAATGTATTCACTTCTGATGAAATTTCTTTCAATTTCAGGGGACTCACCTTGCCTGGAGCCACCCCATTTTCCCTTTCAAAAGGTGCTGTCAGTCACTTAGTACATAAATTGTTTTTTTGCTATTTAAAGTACTTTATTGCCATGACTTAACAAATATTCACAGCTTTACAGCACTATAAAATGGATACAGTACTTTAAATACCTCATTTAACAAGGGTTAATTTAATTTGAAGCACAGTATTTTATGGGACTTTAGCAACCTACAGTGTTTTAAAGAACTTCTGTATGATGGTCAAATATCTGACCAGTGGAGAAGCCCCAAGAGGCAGCTGAGCAGCCCCTGCTTCCTAGCCTGAAAAGTGCAGGGAGGCTCAGAGGCCTCCCCCACCAAACACTGCACTTCTGTCATGTTTAAGAGTACTGTAACTTTATAGTGCTATAAAAAGCGCTCTAAATTACAGTGCTGTAAAATGTGCACCAAGCACTTCTGTACACATGCTTACAACTGTAGTGCAAGGATCCCAGCCATTGCTTTCTCAGATTTCTAGGAGGCTGTTTTTTGGTATGTCATCTGACTGCACCTAGAAAATTCCTGCTTGTTCTGATCTCTGCCACCTCCACCCACCTTGGTGTTGACTCTGTAAGATCCAAGGAAATGGGTGGCCCTGCTGTAAAAGTACCCCAGTCTCTTTCCTGATCCATACAGCATGGAAAATACTTGCACAGAGGTATATCCCATGCCAGGATTACTAGGGCAGTAGTTAGTCTAATATAGGGGTTGGCACTAGGGCTGTGCAAAATGGCACCATTCCATTTTGCCTTCAGTTTCCACGGTTCAGTGAAACAGCATCCCATTTTGAATTTCATTTTGAGTTGAAACATCTGTTCCATTTTGTTCTGTTGAAACAGAAAGGCTGTTTCAACATTTTTCTGGGGATGAGGAGTCAGCCCAGGTGGGCTGACTCCCCATCCCCCGTGCTAAATAGTTTCATAGTTTTTAGTTTCTAGCACAGGGGATGGGAAAGCAGCCCAGCTGGGCTGCCTCACAGCCCCCACACAGTCTAGTGCTGGGGATGGGGATCTAGCTGGACTGATTTCCCATCCCCAGCCTATGGTCGAAACGTTTCAACTTTCAAAATGTTTCGACTAGCCTCGTTTTGTTTCGAGGCTATTTCGATGGCCTTTTTTTCATTCTGATTTTTCTGTTTTGACCGTGAAATTGCTTGAAACAGTATCAAAATGAAATGGCTGGAGAAATTTCACACAGCCCTAGTTGGCACCTATGGTTTGGATCCAGCCTGCAGGGCCAAGAAACTCTGCCTGCACCATGCCCACCCACCTCAGATCCAAACAAGGCCATCCCAGCCCTCCCCCACTGCCTTCTCTCCCCACTCCAGCCCAGAAAATATTGCCAACCCCTGGTCTAATATATTGAGGCCCCACCCTGTTTTACCGAAAACCAATGGCTTGGCTGTCTGATTCACAAATTAGGCTTTAAAGGTATCTTTTTTTAAAGGGAAACAATACTGTATGTTGAGGACTTTTATTCAAAGTGACAGTTTTAAGACAAAGTGAAAAAAAACCCTACCAATTTAGTTGTTACGAATTATACACATTAGAGTGTGAGCGAAGGTGGGTATTCTAGTACATAAAATCCCTTCATACAGCAAATTGTACTACTGTGAACTGCCATAGATATGGAATAGTTTGGCAGTCTTTAATATGGGCCAGGTCCTAAAGGCTTAATCCTTTCTCCAGCACAAATTCTACTGAAGTGAGCAGTAGTTGTTCCTGAGAAAGTAAAATGGGTTTTGGCCCTATAAACAGGTTATACAGAGAGCGTTCCAGGAAGAGAGACTGCTTATTTAAACAGTAGAAATCTTAAGTGTATTAATTCATAGTTCAAAACCATTCATGTGTGAGAAAATTCTCCAAACCCTTAGGTTTCATTGTTAAATTCATCATCATTATATGAGTGATTAGTTTAAATTAGATTTATTAGGTTATTTTACCTAAACACCGGTAGGAAACCAAGCACCAAATTTGCTCCTTGGGCATCCCTTTAATGTAATAACTCAGGGGTTTGCAACCTTTTTGGACCAGTGTACGCTGGTGGCCAGGCGTGGAGAAGCAGTGGTGGGGGTGGGGAGGGAGAGTGGCGGCGGCCACTGTGTGAAATCTTCTCTCAGCCCCCCACGTCCAGGATGCTGCATGGCAGCGTGGGATGGTGCATGGTGGTGGTCTGTCCCTGCTCTCCCATGCATACCCCCCAGGGCCTTCATATGTACCTCTGGGTGTACGCATACCCCTGGTTCACAATCCTTGCAATAACTTAAAATAATACAATATATTAGGTAGGACAACTGTTTCTATGCACATCTCCCATTAAGGTGACCTACATAATGTTAAAGCTGGTAATTTTCTGTAGAAAAAAATATATACAAGTCACTAATGCAAATAGATCTTTTAATTATTTTCATACTGTGACAAGATATTTTATTTAATAGAATTTATTTGTAGCTTCAACCATTTATTAGCTTCACTTAGGTTTCTTGGATCAATATTAATGTTTCATTTCCTTGAAACTGTCGTTTAGACTTCAAGCACTCTAATACCCACCATTTACTAAAACTTGCCTGCCGATGTTGAGGGAAGAATATCATGGTGATAGATAAGCTTAGCTAGGTGCATGATTTATAGTGTTAGGCTCATGTAAAATCTATGTGGCAAATACTGAAGTCTCCAATTACTTATAGTACTAGGCCCTGGCTAAGGCAGGATTTTTTTTTTATTTCAGAGTGGAAATTCTAATGTTTTTAACCATGCGTGAGGTTCAGGAATTGACCCTTTGCCATTTCTATCTACACAAAGATTTATGGTTGTATGAGAGAGAAAAAACTAGGGCTAGATCTTTACGTGATCTAATCCATGTAGCTCCACAGAAGTCAAGATGTTGCTATGATTTCAGCCAGTAAGGACATGGCCACCACAGTATACTAGAGAAAAAGCCCTCTAGTGCATTTTAATGAAAGTTCATCTCCCACCACCATTAACTGGGCATTGTTGAAAGTGCTGCTGACAACAGAACCTAATAATTAGAGATACAATGATGTAAGATGTATGCGTTTTAAGGGAAAATATAAAAGCTTTTCAAACTGTGTAATAATTTGGTTGAGTTTCACATGTATGTCTTACCACTGTGGTTGGGCCACTGGCAGTACAAAAAGAGGTGTTTTTTGTACTGACACGGCTTCTGACATCAGTGATAGCAAAATGAGGAGCAAGTAACTACTTTATTACAAGATAAATGGAAAAGAAAATTAAAATCTTCCTCTTCACATTACTATAAGGAAAACTTAAAAGCACTAGATAAGCATAGTTACACTCACATTTGTATCATTTGAATGCATTAACTATAACTCAGCATGTTGATTAATTTTCTTTACAAAATACTGAAGATAACGTACATAATGGGGTGAATTAAATATAAGGAAACAAATTAAAACTAAAGCTATGAAACAAATAGCTTTAGTTTCTCTTCGTGGCCACCATAACAATCCAATCTTCAATGTTTTGCTTAAAAAAAAAACCTTTGGAAGGGAAAACAAAGGCAATTAAATAAAATCAGTTTCATAGAAATTTCTGGAGCCTGTATCAATAAATAAATACCTTGTAGACATCATGCACTGTTGTTAGCCTGTCAAATCGCAGGTACATTGAATTTAACATGAGGACTATCTGGATAGGTTCGCACTGGGCACAAATGTTGGTAAAGGTCACAACATCACTGAACAATATGGTGCATTCTTTAAACTCTCCTGCGGGCAGAAAAGCCAGTGTTGAATCATTCTAATAGGCGATAGCAATCTGTAATTTTTTATGCTATGCAAACAAAAGACATTTTTGCTCAGTTTGTCTTTTTTGCTACACTTTTAGAAAATAACACCATTTGTAGGGTTCTTTTGACTCACATGCATAAGGAAGGATCTGATATAATATTGTAACAAATATAGGAACTGCAACCCATTTTGGACAATATACACACTGCTCTACAACAAAAAGGAGGCAAGCAAAAACAAAGGAGTACCTGATTCCTCAAGGTACTTCAGTATGTGCTTAACAGCAAGAATAAGCACAAGGCCCATTTCCTTGGGTCATGTCCTGAACAAAAAATATTTTCCTGACTGATGCTAAGCTAATCTGTATTTTAGAAGCACTGAGGAAGTTCTCCTGGAGAAGATCAGTTTCTTCAATCTCCTTCTCTTGGTTTTTTACTCCCTCTTCCCTGTTTCACTCCTGCCCCTCCTTCCATCACCTACCTAGGTTGTAAGGTCACCAGTACTTTGTTTACTGTGACTGCGTAGACAAAGAGAGCATGCAGATAGCCCTGGGGCCATATAGTCTGTACTGCCTCTGACCAAATCTTTTCCATGCCCTGGACAAGAGCATGGCACGTAGCCCCCAAATCTAACATAAATGATAGACTTGCATTTTGCTATAACTGTATCATATTCACCTGCCTCAACCCGTTTCCCTTCTTTTAGCTGATTGGCCACATGCTTAGGAAGCATAGCATACAGCAGAGCTTCTGTCTTTTTCTTTTCTTCTTCTAGGTGCTTTGATAGTATCCGCAGTTCCTCTTTCTTCCTCTCCAGTTGGTTGGAGAGCTCCATCTCTGCCAGTCTTTGCTGGTTAAGAAGAATCAAATCCCTGGTGACGTCATGGGGTGCTATGTCTGCAATATGCATCTGCCTCTCTTCTAGCTCATGCAAAGTGCGTAGTAAAGGTGAACAGAGATATAACATGCACTGCAGGGACTCCATCCAGATCATTTGTCCTAATTTTAAAAAACAAGAAAGAAAGTGATAGAGATGGAAAGAAAGCACATCTGCTCTTCACTACTGGGAGAGTCTTAGGTCTTAGGACAATTGCTGGTCCTTAGGTATATGCCACCAAAGAAAACTGTCACTTTCCCAGAATTCCACTTGGACTATACTGGGCAAGAAGGAAGGTTCAGGGCATGAGAAGCAGTCACTAGGGCTGTGCAAAATTTCACCGGCTGTTTCAATTCGACAGTCTCGACTCATTTCAAGCTTGAAACAATGAAATTGAATTGAAATGAAGGGCTTCAAAACAGCCTCAAAACAAAACGAGGCTAGTCAAAATGTTTTGAAAGTTTTGAAATGTTTCGAGTTTTGAAGCAGTCAGCAGCAAGGTGGTGAGATACAGGAACCAATGGCAAAAATGGCACATATGGTCTTGTCCAAATCAAATCCATCCACAGTTCTGCAGCAAAGATCATTCTCCTAAAACCATTGCTTAGATTATGTCACCCTTCAATTGTTTGCTCTCACATGCAAAGTCTGCCAGAGTCTATTTCCTCCCTGCCTCTCATTGCTTTTGAGATGTTGGCTTCTCAGACTCCCCAAAACATTTGAGAATCCTTTGAGATGATCTCCAGCAAATATAGGCAATATCAGAGTTGACAATAATGATATTCCTAAAGTAAAACATAAGAAAAGTAATTAGGCCACTTCTTTTCCTTTTCCTTTTTAAACCGCAATTTGTTGCCAATAGGTAGACCAATTGGAGCACCGTTCAATACCACTTCCTCTGAAGGAAAATAAAGCAAATTAAATGTATTTTTGTCATAATCATCTTAACATGGAAACTGTTCCATATTTTTACGGAAGGGAAAGATGCAGAAATGAGAATCTGAACTTTTAATGATTACAAACACAAGCAAAAGTATGACTAGTCTATTTTCCTTGTTTGAATTTGAAAGGAATGCAAATAGTCAAGAACCTTCCCACCACATAAATGGTATAAACTAGCTCAGGTTTTAATCATTTCCTCAACTCAAGGTGTGATAGCACAGTTGAGGGCATCGGTTTTCTTTCAAATGAAGATTTTTTACACTGAGCTTCCTTTTAATTGCTACAGGTGGAAATGGAAATGCTTATTGGCAGCAGTTATATTTTATTATATGACAGTGAAAAGCTTGTCTAAGGTTTTGCTTACTTCCCTTAGTACCAAGGTCACTGATAACCTAATGATGCTATCAGAGCTCTGGGAATCTGTGCTCCCTGTGCTAGCTGGCTTCCTCTGCAGAACAAAAAGCATAATCCTATATAAAGATAGTTAATTGCTTTATTAAAGAAAATTCTTAGCAGTGTAAGGGGATTTTTTTCTGCTGTACTTGCAGGGGCAGAGACAAGAGGAGGTAAAATATAGGAGTAATTTTTTTCTACTGTTTCAAAAAAGAAAAATCAGGTTATTTCATAAGCTGAGTCAACTGCTATTCTCCATAGCACTTGTATAACTTAGTTGTTGCTCTTGTGGTACTGAAAGCAGAGTCTAACTTTGTAGGCTTGATCTCATTAGGCTGACCATATGGAAATCCAGGAAATCTGGGACACCATCTGGGAAATCTGGGATATTATCAGCAAGGGCAATGTTACTTACAAGTTGGCAAGGGTGGGGTTGCATACAGGGTGCTCTGCACTGTTCCAACTCCGGCCAGACTGCACCCCATGCCCCTGCATTTCTGGGACACCCATTATAATTGCCAACAGCCAGCTGGGACCAGCCTCTGAAATCCAGGACTGTCCTGGCTAAAACAGGATATATGGTCACCCTAGATCTTATGTTATTTGAATACCCCAGAAGCTGGGTATTGGAGTGACCTCTTAGGGTAAGGAATCCCTCCCATAGCTAGAAGTGGTATTAGAACCACCCTGCAGAGATATGGGGACACTAAAATCAACAATTGCAACCCTATAATTAGTTTTGGTTTAATAAAAGCCTCCTGTACCTCTGAGCTCTAGCATTGGGCGTTGTTTCCAGGACTCTGGCATCATCTCCCGCCTTGTCCGGAAAACAAACTGACTATTGATAAATTTCTGAACACTAGAGATGGTGAATGTCACTTCTGGGTGCACAATACTGAAGTAGTGATCCAGGTGGATCCCCATAGTCTGAAGGCCAGGAACAATCTTCTGGATGCTCACCCCAGCTTGCTTCACCCTGAGCTTGAAAACAACAGATACCATTTTACAATTTGTATTCTGTTTGGCTCCAGCAACCAGTACTCTGAACCAACCCTTGCAATGAGCTACAGTCAATTGCTGTTTACAAATGCACTTAGAGACAGACACACTCAACCAACTTCTTACTGTAAATATATGGCTTTTTTTGCATTAGTTCTTTCTTATTAGCATAAAAAATGTTGACTGGGACTTAAGAACTGGTATTGAAATACAAGGTGTCCCTGTCCCTGATGGCAGGATATTACCCAAAGAACAGAATCTTGTTAAGACGGTCAGTGTTAATATTCACTAGGGGTGTGTGAAATAGGCCCTATTCAATTTGGGTGTGGATTCAGCCCAAATTGGGGACAGTGATTCAATTCGTTGATTCGGATTACTGTCCCCAAGTAAATTCAGCTGAATCTGAATCTGAAAATTTGATGCTGATTTGGAGTGTAACCTGGGTACGCCCAAGAGTGTGCCCTATTCTCAATTGAATGGAATAGGTAGGCAGGAGGGAGTGCTGTGAGAGGGATGCCAGAATTTCAAGCAGATCCCTCTTTCTTCTATAGAGTTAGCCCAAGCCCAAAGTTCTTAGCTATATACAATTTATTATGTTATAATATACATAAACATAAGACTAAATATCATGTACATATATTTACACAGAAAACACTAACCAATAACCAAGGTCAAACTCTAAATAACACTATTTACAACATCACAATACAACAGCTCAATTGCAAAATATAAGGCACAAACATGAACAATCTTAATAACATCTATTCCTTAATATAGTCCCTGACCCATGGCAAGAGATAGTCCTCCTCCCAGTGGGGTCCCTTGTGGGGTATCCAGGAAACACCTGGGCCCCTCCCCTTAGGGCCTTGACTAGGCAGGGGGATGCTCACCCAGCCCCTTCTCTGGGTTTGCCTGCCCCAAACATCTTTCCCCTGTCAGACCCAAGGGCCCAATGACTCATGCTCCCTCAGGTGGCAGTGGTCAGGGCGCAGCTCGATGGGGTCTCCTCTGCTGGAGTGCCTCTACAGGCCTCTCCTGCACCACTGGGCTCCTCTCCACTCTGTGCCTCACTCTGGGCACCAAGGGCTCAGCTTCTCTCAGCTGCTGCACCACTGCTGCTGGCTCCTGGGTGCTGGGCCTCACACCGCAGCACTACCATCTCCCTGTGCCCTGGCTTGGCACTGAAGGCTCTCTTAGCACAGGCCAGGCCCTTCAGGCTCTGGCCAGCCATCCTCAAGCCAAGTGGCTAACCCAAGCAGCCTCCACTGCTCCCTGGCTCCCAAGGCTCAGGCCTGTGCACCCCCCTGCGCACCATGGGACCTGGCCACTTGCCAGGAGATGGGGCCTGAGCCACCTCACTGCAGCCCCAAAGCCTTTGCCCCATGTGCTGCCCCACACACCGTGTGGCCCACTGGCCCTGCCAGGGTTGCAGGTTCGAGCCATTGCTTCCGGCTCCCAAAACCTGGACTCCATGCACCAAACTATGCACTGTGATGGGCCCAAGCAGTCTCACACCACTCCCAAGGCCGGATCTCCATACACTCAACCCTGTGCGCCGTCAACAGCCTGAGCAGTCTCGCACCACTCCAAAGGCTGCTTCTCCAGTGGCAGCTTCAGGAGCGCTGGGCCTACTGCCCACTGAGGGAGAGCTCCCCAGCTTTTCTTGGCTCTGCTCTTCTTGAGTCCCTCACTGCATCTGCCCTTGTGCTGGGCAGGCAGCTCCTTTTCTATGCTCCAGGGCTCTGCCCCTGAAGTCTTCCAGACCTGACAGTTTACAGTCTTCAGTCAGGTCCAGGGGAGCTCTTCTCCCCCTCCCCTCAGGAAAGGGGCATAACTTTATTTCTCCTGCTACATCCTGATTGGTGGATGGGCTCCACCAATCAAAACAGCAGAAGCTCAAGCCTGGGACTCAACCCAAGCTCTGAAAGATGAGCCTGCTACAGGAGAATCACCAATTTGGCCATAGACACAGCTTTAAATGTTTTTTCTACATAGCTCAAGGTACCAGGCATGGCTTGTGGATGGATGGGTTGATGAAGCATCCCACAGGAGCATTAGGGGGCCCCCACATGCTCAGCAGTGAACCTAGAAGTACTTCTGGTCCGCTTCTGGGTTCACCAGGGAGCACGCAGGGCCCCCCCCGCCTCAGCGATTGGTCGCAGGGGGGACCCTGGGTGCCTCCCCAGACCTAGGAGGCACCAGTCGCTGAGCTGGGAGGTACGAGGGGGGCCCTAGCGTGCTTTCTGGCAGACCTAGAAGTGGACAGGAAGTGCCTCTGGTCCACTTCTGGGTCTGCTGCTGAGCATGCTGGGGAGCCCCCCCGCACTTCTGTGAAACACTCCATGCACTCCAACATTGCAGCATTCACAAGCTGCCTGCTACCTAGAGATATGTAGAAAAAACTTTTAAAGCTGTGTCTGTCCGAATCTCTGAGTCGATTCGGAGGGTTCTGATTTGATTCAGAGAGATTAAAGGGTCCTCTAATTTGATTAGGATTTGGAGATTTGGCTACTGAATTGGGCTGAATCTCCCACAAATCAAATCAGGGACCGAACCTTCACACACCCCTAATATTCACTGAATTCTCAATTTTATATAAATAATGGCTCTCATCTTCTTCTAGCCTACTTCTGTATAAGTGCATATCACTGTTCAAAACAATGCCAGAGAGAAAAGAAATAGGTACATTTTAACAGTGATATGCTGTAGAATATTAATGATTAGTAATGACAAAGCACCGAGTCATTTTCAATTCAGTTGCGAATGGTATGTAAATAATATTGTTTTAAGACTCATGAAGCTTTTTCACACTTCCTCAGTAATTCCATGTCCCCTGGTATATAGCAATATTATGGTGACTGAGGGAAAAAATCATTCTAAAATTAAAAAGGACTGTATCATTTCTTTCAACTTTCTTTCAGGTGTGTTGTGATCTCTTTCCTCTCTTTCATTTGGCCATGCTGACACATCACAGTGGTTATTAAAAAGGATTGTAAATACAATGCTGGTCAGTTTAACTTGTATAATGTGATTGGTAGGAATGTTCAGTTTCGTAGGAGACATAGTTTGGGATGGATGTTTGCAGCATTTATTTAAAAAAATTAAAACTGGATATTTGTTAGAAATATAAAAATATTTAGACATATACAAATATAACAGACCAGAGCCATAAATTTGTAGTAATTGCTATCTGAGAAAGATCATTCCCTGTATTCAGAATAGGAAATAGCTGTGGTACTAAGTGTGCCGGCACTTATTAACTATGGAATGGAAAACAATGACCACTGTTTCCCTTTTTCAGGCTTCACCTTCCCATCAGTTTTAAGGGTACAAGTTCTCTTGAAAACTCATAATATAATAATTCCCTATTTTCTTCTCCTTACTTTCCAAGACAATGGTAGCTGCATAACCAATAAGAACCTGCATCAGCTCCCATTGATGGGTGTAAAACCAGGCCTGTATTCTGCACTAAGAATTTGGTTGAGGTGTTGATGATCAGATGCCTAGAAAGACTTATGACACCGAAGTGAATTGCATATCAGTATTACAAAACTTCCTCCTCACTACTCAAGCATCACAACGAAGAATCATTTTTCATAAATGCCTCTTTTATCTTTGCTTCCCTGCCCCTACTAATATTTTCTTGGTTAAAAAAAAATGAGTTAAGAGAAACTAGCAAATTTGCAAGAGCCACTCGTAAGTGCTTAGGGGAACAATGCTCTTCATATCAGCCTTCTTGTGGCAGAAGAATGTAGGTGGTAGGAAAATGGCTCAGCTTCCTTTCAATAGGTGTGAAGAGATGCTGGATTTCTCCTACTGTGGGCTGGGCTGCTTGGATCATCTGCTTAGTGTGCATTTTGCTGGATGCAGAGTCCCAGTTATCAGAAAGGCTTCACAGAAGTCCTTGTGCAGATGGGGGCTTGCAAGCTGAATGGGTGCAAGAATATAGCTGTAGGGGAGTATGGGTCATATTTCTGGACAACCCAGGTGACACAGAAAAAGCCATTATTGCTTAGAGAATCCAGGTCACAAACATGTTTGATAATTAGTAGACTATTACATGCTTTTTAGCCCTTATACTGCCACTTTGCATGCAGAAATTTCAATGGAGTTACCGTATCTGGTTGCTAGTATGTGTGATGTCTTCCCAGCAATCTACATGAAGAACTTCCACTGATGTTAACCATGGGTATGCACTATGTATGGAGTGCAACAGTGCAAGATGGTCCTATATACACATTGAAAATAGAACAAATAACATAGCAATGTGGCTTGTGTGTGTAAAACTGACTTCCCACATGCTTGCCTTACCTCTTTGTCAAAAACAATATGGAAAGGCAGTCCATTGCAAAATGTTTTGGTGTCTATCCAGAGGGTCTTAGGATAAACAGGATCAAATCCTCTCAGTAGTTTACCTGCAGTAAGATAAATCTGCAACTTTCAAACATGTTGCAACTCATAAATCTAATCAGTATTTCTCTGCAGTACCTGATCTTACAGGACTGCATGACAGAATAAAATAAAACAAAATAAAAAAATATGTGGGTGCAAATATGTGCATGCAGATATTTATGTGCAGTAAATGCTCTATAGAGAAATATAAAGCTGCTTACCTATCTCAAATTGATTTGGTTGAAAAAGTTTAAAAACCTAAACACAGAAAAATATGAACCTTTAGATGTGTGAAATGATGTCAAAACAATGAAAATAGATGGGTAACTGTAAGACTTGATGCTCTTTGAATTTATAAATACTTTAGTGATTGCCACTGCTATACTCACATTGAAATGTATCCAGCACTGCCATTTAAAATAGTTTGCCAGTTGCTATAGAACTTTTACAGAAAAAAGATTTAGGACCACAGGCCCATTTTCTCAGTGACATCTGGGTGCCATAGATCCCATTGGTCCTTTTGAAGGATCTGAGCCAAAATCTCATATGTGCAGATATTTGGTCCATGGAATGAAGGCTCTCTTAGAAAGAGCTGAACTCAGGTTGAAGTAAATCAGAACCCATCATTTTTATAAGTCAGGCCCATGGAAACTTTTAGCTTTTGATCTATTACATGAGGAAATTAGGCAATTTTGTTGATTTTGAAGTATAGTTCTGCTCTAATGCTAATGAAACCTGTTCTTTATCTGCTTTCCATATTCATGGTTTTGTGTGTTCTGAGTCAGATTTCTTGATCTTAGTTCTGAAAGGGTGTAGAGGAATGAAAATTTATTTCTGGATCTAAGACACCTGTTAGAGACAGAGCTGGATTCCAATTCTTCTTGTGGAATCCTCACAGAAGCCTCTCAGCTGCTACCTTCCTACAAACCTGTTAATAGCAATGGGTACACAGGTGTCCCCAAAAGCACAATTAGATGTCACTGGTTAGCACAGATCTGCTGAAAGCTATGGTTTGGTCTTCAGAACCTATTAAAGTTGAAAAGAAAGATACCAGCTTGAATATCAGGTGCTATATTGAACAGTATGTTTTTTATTTTTAATCTGAGGCCATTTGATCTGGAAATAAGTGAGAAACATTAAGTAAAAAAAACCTTTGTGATGCCATCTTTGCTGGAACACTTTTGAGAGTGGAACCCTACTTTAAAGATGGGAGAGACATGATACATCCAACTGGTAAGCATGTAATTTATTTATGACTATTGGAAAACAGTTATCCCAGTGAAGGAACTTGGAACAAGGACATTTTGAAAAGATGAATGGGCATTAGGTAAAGGAGGTGAGATGTGGGTGATTCATTGAATATCACATTTAAGTTATTAATAAATTATGTCCGGTTCCTTGTGAACGATCTCCCTCTTACCTTTTCCTAATGTAACGATACCTCTTATTGTCTCCCAGTGACTTTTCTTGACAGGACGAACAGGAACAAGACTTGTTCTATCTCTAATCTTATTCACAGTTTTTTCAAGGTCCTGCGAAATAAGTCCAACTGAAACATTCAGCTTTGCTTTCCCTTCTCTCTTTTTTTTACATCTTTCTAGCAAGTAAAGCAAAATGGATCAGGTCTTTATCATATGTAAAATCAGCACAAACCCATTTACTTCAAAAGAAGATATATCATTTTACAGTACCTAAAGATCTGACCCAAAGAAATAAATCTTGCATGAAAAAGAAAGAAATATCAGTGGTATATTTTCAAAGTTCCTGGACCCAACTTTTGAAATTGAATTGCCACCATTGCATGTCATGAGTCTTTACATGCAGTTGTTTTTGGTGTACAGGTTTGTGCACACCTGGAGAAGAACATAAATGTGCAAGTTAGCTATTTAGGCATCTAACTGGTATCCGCATGCAAATTCCCTTTGGGCAATTCAGCTTAGGCAGCCAAAAGTCCTCATCCAAAAATGGGGTTGTATCCATGAAGTCATGCAAACTTAGAGGCAACATTTGAGATGTTGGGAGACTTAAAGAAGCATACAACAATCATCCATAATTGGGTACAAAGTCTCAGCAATTGTATTACTAAGTAATTACTATTTGCAGGAATAGGGATATAAAAATACCTTATTCAGTAGTTTTTCGCTTTGCCTTCCAGAATCGGCATGATATTGTGGTAAGGAAGAAAATTTATCTCTCTTGTTATATGAAAATACAGGTTTCTGAGTGACAAGGAAAACAGTGTGTTCTTTTTTCCCAGTCCTTTCTTCCTCTTCTGTTTGATTGACTATTTCCATTGAAATTTCAGTGTTGAAAAAATCCAGGGCTGCTGCACCAATGATTCCTAGAAGGAAACAAAAGACAGAATGCTGTCAAAAATCTTCCATTTTAACAAATATTTTTGCAATGCCATGTATTAGATCAGCCAAATTATAGGTGACTTAGGCTGTACTGATTAGGGTTTAGATATGTGGTGTGCAAGATCGCATAGTCATGAATCAGTAGTTGGACTACTTATTCCAAGGTAAGTATTTGGGACTAGATCTTAGGCTGATATAAGTCTGCATACTTCTGTTGGTTTTATATAGAAAAAAAAGGCAATTTATACCAGCTGTGGATCTGGCCCTAAGATAATATAGGAACACAGATAACTATGCACAACACAAGTTAAAGCAGAAAATCCCCAGAGCCTGAAACATTCTCTAAGAGCTAGAATGAGCCATTTAGATTCAGCCCTAAGCCAAGGGTAACTTGCAGCTGTAACTACCCAGGAGGTGCCTCAGGAAGGGGCATGCTGCTGAAATAGGACTTCCTATTTTATGTGGACAGTGTTGGGGCAGTAGGGTACTTTGCTGTTTCAGCTGATTACCATACCATATTTGGCTGCCTGAGGCAAGGAGGGTTGGCATATTTCTAGTTCTCCTTATTGTCTCTAAATAATCAGCTAATACATACTCCTCTCCAACCTACTCCTGCTTCCTTGTGCCCAGATTCAAAATCCAGGTAAATCTTGTGTGGGGGAGGGATGGTATTGGGGCTTTACCTATTCCAGCTATCATGTGGTGTTTAGTCATAGAGTTGTAGCTGTGATGATTCAGGAAATATGTAAGAAGAAAGGTTTTTTTGGCGATATCTTTCATTGTACGAAACAGGAGCTGAGACAAGATTTTGGAGATAAAGTGCATTTTTTCAAGTCTGGAAAAGGTGTCAGTGGAGTGTGCTATGTTGTCTTAGTCTCAGCCTAGCTCATTGGCATGCATCAAGAAAATAATTATTTTGTAGAAGAGTTGACTGGAACTATTTTAACTGATGTATATTTTGAGAAGATTATATAGAGTATCGCTATGAATGTGTGTTTTTTTTTTAAATAACTTTCTTGCAGTTTGACCTTAATTAGGCAGTCAAAGAGAATACTCTCTCTCAAAGTATTTCATCAAGATGCATTATCATTGCTCCCAGTTTTATATATTAATGTGCGGCTGTTCAGTGCAATATTGTACCATGACAGTGATATGAAAAATTACTCTGCATTTCTAAAAATTATTGAAGTCTCAAATCGCTGTGAGTTCCACTGTGTAACAAGGAAATAAAGGGGGAGATTTGATTGCATTTTAAAGTAAACGTTTCTGTGCAGGGACATCTATTTAATCATATAGATCCTAGTCCTAATTCTATGTAACCACCACACCAATATAATTGTGAAGTATAGTGATTCTTTCAAAATTCACATGACTGGGTTTCTGAATGAAGATTTTTATTTCTGCAAATATCAATATCATGCCCGGTCCAGAACAGAGTTCAATGATGATTTTTCCTGGGTAAATTTTGAAGGTAGTAGTTTTACTGGTAATGGGAGATGGCACAATCCCTGGTCACCCAAGTTAAAGGAGGTCAGAAATAGAAGTCAGGTGGCACTCAGAGAGCAGGCGGGGACTGGGGTGGTATTGCTGTGCTCCACTGTAGTTATTTTGGGGACACAAGTTATTAAGAACTAAAAATAACACCTTGTCTCCACAGCATACAGTAGGGACTTCCACGTTTTCCATTGTAAAACTCTGATCTTTTTCAGAACTGCTAAGCCCTCACAAATCCTGCTGAAGTCAGTAGGAGCTGCACCCACTCAGCTCCTCTGAAAAATCAAGCTATAAAGGTCAAATATCTAAAAGGCAGTTGAAAATCTGTCAAGCTTTCAATTCCACAGCCAATCCTCGGTCATAGAACTTTTGAAACCTGAGCAAGAAATAGATGCAAACATATTATGAATCAGTTATAGTTTCATAGCTGGTAGGGTCGGAAGGGACCTGAGCAGATCATCAAGT